GAGGTGTTAAATCACTACTTTGGATCTCTCCTTACCAAAGAGGGAGATGCTACCCAGGCTATGGTGACAGAGGAGAGATCTCAGTCACTAGAAGGGCTCAGAATTGATCGGGCAGAAGTGTTCAATACACTGTTGGTACGTAAAGTTGACAAGACACCAAGACCGGTTGATATGAATCCAAGCATTTTGAAGGGAGTGAGGATAGAAAATGTGGGGTCACTGGCCATCATCTATCAGTCTTCCCTGGACTTGCCAGAAGACTGAAAAATTGCAAATATTATGGCCTTGTTTGAGAAAGATTGCAAGGATAATCCCAGCAATTCTAGAACAGTCATCTTAACTTCAGTGGTGGGAAAGCTTTGAGTGATCATTTTTCAGGATAAAATTAGTAGTCAAGTGGAAAAAGGTATGTTGCTTAGGAAAAGTCAGCATGGATTTCCACAGGCGAAATCATGTTTAATTAACTTGCTTGAGTTTTTTGAAGAGGAAACAGAAATGCTTGATGAAGGTAATGCTGTTAATGTGATATGCATGGACTTTCAGAAGGCATTTGGTGTAATTCCACACAACAGACTTGTGAGGAAAGTTACAGGTCGTGGAATAAAGGAGTTAGTGATAATGTTGATAGAAAATTGACTTGAGTGATAACAAACAGACAATAATGGTCAATGGAGACATTTCAGGTTGGAGGAAGGTCAGTAGCAGAGTTCCCAAGGTGGTGCTATTAGGACCCTCTTTTTTTTTGATATGTTAATTTTGGTGATTTTGGCACACAGGGAACAATTTCAAAGTTTGCAGATGACACAAACTTTGGTTATAAGGATAGATTGAAGAAGTTGGGACCACTCTCCTCAGAGAGATGAAATAAGAGGAGATCTGATAGAGGATTTTAAAAACCATGAGTGGGCTGGATAGAGTAGATAGGGAGAAATAGTTCCCAATTGTAAAAGGAACAAGAATGAGACGGCATAAATTTGTAGTGGGGAGGGCATAATTGAGAGGGCATAATTTATATTACCCTTAATATAAGAAAATATAAGAAAAATATAAGAAAAAGGTAATATAAGAAAAAAACATTTTCACATAGTGAGTAGTTAGAGTATGGAATGCACTGCCTGAAAGTGTGGTGAAGGCGGATTCAATTAAAACATTCAGGAAAGCATTGAATGGTTATTTGGATAAAAATAACATGCTAGGGTATGGGGAGAAAGCAGGAGATTGATATGATGTAATGATGCTCAATAGAGGAGCTGACGCAGGTACAATGGGCTGAATGGCCCTCTTCTGCATCATAAGATTGCTGTGATTCTGTGATAAAGAAATTGCTGATGGTAGGTTGAAACGTTGCTTAGAACTGAGTGATCCCAGATGAGATTCAGTTTGTACCAGAGGTAGGAGTTACAACACAACCTCTTGGGTGGAAGGGTAGCAAATTTTAAGGAAATGATGGCAAGGCAGGATGGCTCTGATATTGTATTCATAATGGCTGATCCATGAGTACTGTCTGCAAAATCAGGTGTGAGAAAGCTCTTTTCGAAATCTTGCAAAATTCAACAGACAATCCAAATTGGAAATTGTGCAAAAACGTGAAGAAAAGTAAGCACACATGCCCAGCATGTCATGAGACAAAACAGTATGTTGGGCTCTCTTGGCTTACTTAATCCACACCTCTCGAACTCTGATATGCATTCCTTTAGTGACTTAAAGAACCCAGCATCTAAACATAGAAAATAGGAGCAGGAGTAGGCCAATTGGCCCTTTAAGTCTGCTCTGCCATTCAATGTGATCATCCAACTGAGTACCCTGTTCCCACTTTATCCCCAGACTCTTTGGTCCCTTTAGCATTCAGAAGTATAACTAACTCTTCCTTGAAAAGATTCAATGTTTTAGCATTGACTACTTTTGGGAACATACAAGGTCAATTTTGTTGCATTGTAAAGATGTATGGAATTAGCCAAAATTGCTGATTCTCCATCCTGTCCAGCAATTGTAGAGTGGAGACAGGATTGGTGTTGTGAGTACTGTAGACACTAAGTTTAGTAGCCACTATGCACAATAATTCACATCTACAGGAGGCAGGGAAGGCTTGAAATCTCTAGATGTGCAGAGAGCCTTTGAGGTTGTACTCACAATATGATATCGGGATAAGCCAGTTTTATTTTTAAGAATGCAGTTTAACTGAAGGGTTGCAGGGAGTGGATATGTGTTATAAAGCTTTTCTTGATACCAAGGAATAAATATGTGTAATACTCATGAAAATAAGTGAGGGTGGTAGAATATCACAGTCTGCAAAAGGAACATTTTTAACAGCTGAATAAACTTCTCAAATGCCAAGTTGAGGGATCTCTCACTAAAACCAAAATGTTGAGCCATGGAATGGCCAGCAGAAATCAGGCCTTCACAAACATAGAAACATAAAAGATAGGAGCAGGAGTAGACCTTTCGACCCCTCGAGCATGCTTCGCCATTCAATATGATCATGGCTGATCATTGAGCTCAATACACTAATCCCACTCTCCTCCAAATCCCTTGATCTCTTTAGACAGAAGAGCTATATTTACCTTCTTCTTGAAAACACAGAATGATTTCTCCTCAGCCACTTTCTGAGGTAGTGATTTCCACAGGCTCACCTCTCTCAAGCTTGTTTAGTTTACTTTGTCAGATACGCTTTGATAGTTTGTAACCTTCTTAAATCCATTCCCAAATAATGTGGCCTTGATATTATATTCCCTCCACAATGGACAGGGTAGGCTTTGGAGTCGTGTGGGAGGCTGTTTATAAAGTGGATGTGTGGAGCATGATCACAACCCATTGTGCACTCTCTTCTGCCCCTTCTACAGTGTCAGAATATTGGCAAGACAGAGTACATGATTCTGTGTGAGCGAATGATGTTTGAGTGAGTCTAAATTTCAGCCCAGATCTTCCCCTGCCATGGACAGGGTGAGGGCCACTTGCCAACATATTCATAAAAGGCTTTTTGTTAAAATAAAAATGCTTCTGAGATGTTTTAACAGTTTTAAATCCATTTGTACTCCTGTACATGGTGGGGATACTTGGCTGTAGAAGGTAAGTAATTTTTTCATTGTTCTATGTGGACCTGGGTTGGCAGCAGCTTCCTTCCCCTCACCACGAGACCCACCAGAATAACAAAGAACCCCATGGCCTCTCTGAACCTTCCCCAGCTATCCCAATTGCAAACTTTTCCACACTGCCTTTCAACTAAATCTTTCACACAATTGAAAGGCACCAACCCAAAGATTTATGGCTTCCATCTCCTGCTGCTAGTATTCCCTTCGGCTCTCCAGCCAGTTCCTTCATTTGGCCAGCTAGATATCAGGGAAATGGAGCGATGAAATGTCTCACTGTCAGGATCTCCATGTCTCCAGCCTTGCTGGGCTCTGAGGTTGTTTTTCACCTCACTTAGCCCTGTGCCATCTCCAACTCCCTAGACATATTCTGACTCCTTACCTCATGTAACCCAAATATAAAATGCTTTACTAGCTTTTAAAATATTTCAATATCTGCCACTGAAAATTGATCAGCATTTTCTGGGCTACATTTTCCTCAATTCAAGGCCAACTTTCTGACAAAACAGCGAACGAAAATGTCTCATTATCTGCAAGTATTTGGGAAATGCCAGAGTTTGCAAAAGGCATTATTTAATTGCAAGTTCTTTCTTGTAATAAGCAATAAATCCAGGGCTATTCTATTTTCCCATGCTGCACCAGATGTGTTTGCTGAGTTTTTGTGTGCCTCCAAACCGAGAATAATGAGTATTTCGTCGAGAACTTTTTGAATTTTAACACATTGAGGGAACTATTCAGCCCATTGTGCCTGTGCTAGCTCTTTGAAACAGCTATCCAATTAGAGTCATAGAGTCATAGAATTGTACAGCACGTAAACAGATCCTCAGTCCAACCCGTCCATGCCAAACAGATATCCTAAGTTAATCTAGTTCCGTTTGCCAGCATTTGGTCCATATCCCTCTAAAGTCTTTCTTTTCATGTACCCATCCAGATGCCTTTTAAATGTTGTAATTGTACCAGCCTCCACCACTTCCTCTGGCAGCTCATTCCATACACACACCATCCTCTGCATGAAAAAATTGCTCCTCAAGTCCCTTTTAAATATTTCCCCTCTCACCTTAAACCTATGCCCTCTAGTTTTGGACCACCCTACCCTGGAAAAAGACCTTGGCTATTCATCCTATCCATACCCCTCATGATTTTATATACCAGTGTAAGGTCACTCTCAGCCTCCGATGCTCCAGGGAAAATAGCCCCTGTCTATTTAACCTCTCCCTACAGCTCAAATCCTCCAACCCTGGCAGCATCGTTGTAAATCTTTTCTGCACCCTTTCAAGTTTAACAACATCTTTCCCATAGCAGTGAGACCAAAATTGAATGTAGTATTCCAAACCAAAAACAAAAACAGAAGTTGCTGGAGAAGCTTAGCAGGTCTGGCAGCATCTGCGAAGAGAAATCAGAGTTAACGTTTCGGGTCTGGTGACTCTTCCTCAGAACTGAGGATCATTATCCTGAAAGAGGTAGTATTGGGCAAGCTAATGGAGCTAAAGGTAAGACAAGTCTCCTGGCCCTGATGGAATGCATCCCAGAGTACTAAAAGAGATGGCGGGAGAAATAACAAATGCGCTTGTGGTAATTTTCAAAAATTCGCTGGACTCTGGGGCAGTTCCAGCAGATTGGAAAGCAGCCAATGTGACCTCACTGTTCAAAATAGGAGTTAGACAAAAGACAGGGCATTATAGGCCAGTTAGCTTAACTTCTGTAGTGGGGATAATGCTTGAACCTATCATCAAGAAAGAAATAGTAAGGCAACTAGATAGAAATTGTCCCATTGGGCGGATGCAGCTTGGGTTTATGAAAGGCAGGTCATGCTTGACTAATTTACTGGAATTCTATGAAGGCATTATGAAGGCAGTGGACACTGGGGACCCAGTAGATGTGGTGTATCTGGATTTCCAAAAGGCATTCGACAAGATGTCGTACAAAAGGCTGCTGCGTAAGATAAAGGTGCACGGAGTTACAGGCAATGTATTAGCATGGATCGAGGATTGGTTAACTAACAGGAAGCAAAGAATGGAGATAAATGAGTGCTTTTCTGGTTGTCAAAGTGACTAGTAGTGTGCCTCAGGGATCAGTGCTGGGACTGCAATTGTTTATGATTTGGAGTTGGGGACCACATGTAGTGTGTCAAAGTTTGCAGATGACACTAAGATGAATGGTAGACCAAATGTATGCAGAGGACGCTGAAAGTTTCCACATGGATATAGATAGTTTAAGTGAGTGGGCGAAGGTCTGGCAGGTGGAATTCAATGTTGATAAATGTGAGGTCACCCATTTTGGTAGGAATAATAGTAAAAAGGGCTATTAGTTGAATGGTAAAAAATTGCAGCATGCTGCTGTGCAGAGGGACCTGGGTGTCCTTGTGCATGAATCACAGAAGGTTGGTTTGCAGGTGCAACAGGTAATTAAGAAGGCAAATGGAATATTGTCCTTCATTGCTAGGGGGATTGAGTTTAAAAGCAGGGAGGTTCTGTTGCAGCTGTATAGGGTACTGGTGAGGCCACATGTGGAGTACTGCTTGTAGTTTATTCTTCTTACTTGAGAAAGGATGTACTGGCACTGAAGGGGATTCACTAGGTTGATTCCAGAGTTGAGAGGGTTGGCTCATGAGGAGAGGCTGAATAGACTGGGATTATATTCACTGGAATTTAGAAGAATGAGGGGGGATCTTATAGAAACATATAAAATTATGAAGGGAATAGATAAGATAGAAGCAGGGAGGTTGCTTCAATTGGTGGGTGAAACTAGAACAAGAGGGCATAGCCTCAAACTCAGGGGGAGCAGATTTAGGATGGAACTGAGGAGGAATGTCTTTACCGAAAGGGTTGTGAATCTGTGGAATTCATTGCCCAGTGAAGTAGTTGAGGCTTCCTTATTGAATGTTTTAAAGCTAAGGTCGATGACTTTTTGAACAGTAAAAGAATGAAGGGTTATGGAGAGAGGGTGGGTAAGTGGAACTGAGGCCATGAAAAGATCAGCCATGATCTTATTGAATGGCAGAGCAGGCTCGAAGGGCTAGATGGCCTACTCCTGCTCCTGGTTCTTATGTTGTTAATTTCCTTCTGTTTTTATACTGTATTCCAAATAGTGGCCTAACCAATGTCCTGTACAGCCTCAACATGGCATCCCAACCCCTATACTCAATGCACTGAACCAGTAAAGGCAAGTACACAAAACACCTTCTTTACTACGCTGTGTACTTGTGACTCCACTTTCAAGGAAAGTGACCCTGCACCCCAAGGCCTCTTTGTTCAGCAACACCCCCCTGGACCCTACCATTAAGTGTGTAAGTCCTGACCTGATCCGCCTTTCCAAACTGCAACACCTCACATCTAATTAAAATTAAACTCCATCTGCCGCTCCTAGGCCCATCGGCCCATTGACTCATCTGATCAAGGTCCCATTGTACACTGAGATAATCTTCACTGTCCACTGCACCCGCAATTTTGGTGTCATCTGCAAACTTACTAACCATTTCTCCTTAATTGGTATCTCTCAACCCACAACCCATTTGTTTTACAACTTTCTTACATATTATAATCAACGTAGTTTCAAGAGTGTGATCTAGAGACAATTTTTACTCCTACTGTGATGATTGTTTGCCTAAAATGTTCACTTTGGTTTTAAAGTGATGAACAGGCATATGGTACTCTGCATGTGATACCTGTTGTATGTTTCTTTCAGGGAAGGTCTGGATCACAGTGATGGTAGTGTTCAGGCTACTGGTGATCATTGGTGTTGGCTATCCTCTGTACCAAGACGAACAAATGAAATTCACTTGTGATACCATGCAGCCAGGATGCTCCAATGTGTGCTACGATGCCTTCTTCCCTGTATCCCACTGCAGATTTTGGTTTGTACAGGCCATCGTGCTCTGCTTGCCTTTAGCTTTTTTCATCCTGTATGTGGCCCACAGGGTGCCAATGCAAAACGCAAAAGCAAGTTCCATCCAGTGTCTGCAAAATCCGGCTGAAACGTCGTCAACCAGGAAAGAGGCTGTGGGAAGTACTTCCTTGACTAGGAAAAGCCAGGAGACAAATCTCCATTTGACAGACAGCCACGAGGAAGCCAAGGCTGCAACTGAAGACCTCAGAATAGGACAAAGAATTCTTAATTTCTGTGAGGCATATGTGCTTCAGTTACTTCTGAGGACTTTGTTGGAGGCAGGATTTGGTGTTGGCCAATATTACTTGTTTGGCTTTTTTGTCCCAAATCGGTTTGTCTGCTCCAGTTATCCGTGTGCCAACAGAGTGACCTGTTATCCCTCCAGGCCCACAGAGAAAACATTGCTGGTTAATTTTATGTTTGGGGTCACTGCATTTTCCTTTCTCCTGAACTTTGTGGATCTGATTTATGTAATTAATCAGGCTGTCAAACAAAATAAGAAGAATAAGTTGCGGATGAAACATTTTTATCAAGCAGAGTCCTATCATGACATACCAAGTGACACCCACGAGCTTCCTGAATTCAAAGTAGTCCAAGAGCATGAAATGCATGTGAGGGAAAGGCGAGAGAGTGGCGCAAGTGTAGGCAGTGGAGGAAAACCTTCCAAGGCAGGGCAGGAGGAAGGTGCTTATGTACACTCAGAGGTGCTGTCAGAGGACGTGGCTCTCTCTAACACCAATAGCAACAACACACATCTCACCGTGCTCACATCAAGCCCTGCTTCTATAGGAGGATCCCCTGACAGCAAGTTGGCTGTCTTTGAGAAGGGGCAGGGGACATCTCCTCATGCCTTCAGCAGCTATGCAGCCTGCGTGCCGGGTCAGCAAGGCTCTAGATTACGGCAGCACGCACTACCGAAACCTGCCCAAACTCCAATGAGCAACAGTCAGCTGATAGAGGAGTATAGGCTTGTTCATATGCGGGTCACAGACAGCGAGTCAAATTGCAGCAAAGGCAGCAGGAAAAAGAAATCTGAGTGGGTTTAGCAGCAGAAAATAAAAGAAAAGCATCCTGAGCATGGATTAAAGGGCAACCACCATTTGCTGAAATACTTCATGCATTTGCAATGATCTTAAAAGTACTTTGATTAGTGGTGTGCAGTGTCAGAGATAAGAATGCGAATATTTTAACTTATTTGCTACTAAATATGTACCAGGGTTGGGAGACAGTAGGTGGCACTATTTCCCACCATTCTGAGAAATGTATCAGGGGCTGCAGTAACAGAGTCTTATGGTGGAATTGAATGGTTGAATGGTAAGTGCATTCTAACCCATACCTTCTGAATGGCTGTGAAGAGCGGTTTTGAATACCAACATAAATCCACAGTTCTAATTGTGATATTCAATATTTTGTATGTCCCACAAGTGAATCTGAAAAGTTTAAAATTTAATACAAACCCTATCATGTACTAAATATGGCACTTAAAATGTAGTGGGGGCCACAACTGTAACTCCTCTTTCTCCCAGTGCATATAGGAAAGGCCAGGATCCATCAACTGAAGACTGGCAACCTATTCTATGGACAGCGCTATAAGTGGGGCAGATATATCAGAGGCACTACTTTTAATCCACCTACTAGAAGGGAGTATGAACAAAGCCATTCTTCTAGAAAGACCCCAGAGGCCTCCCTGAGTGAGGGACACCCTATGATTCCAAAGGGACACTTTAATGATTGGTAATAATTGAATTGATGTCATCAATCCTTATCATCCTTTTTACTGGCATGATCAGAGGAACTGGCAGGAATGACTGTGTTTTACCTAGCATCACACTGTCATTTTATCATCATCATCATCATCATCATCATAGAATCCCTACAGTGTGGAAACAGGCCATTCAGCCTAACAAGTCCACACCGTCCCTCCGAAAAGCATCCCACCCAGACCCATTCCCCTAACCCTGCATTTTCCCATGTCTAACCCACCTAACCTACATCCCTCGGCACTATGGGCAATTTAACATGGCCAATCCACCTATCCTGCACATCTTTGGACTGTTGGAGAAAACCGGAGCACCCGGAGGAAAACCACGCAGACACGGGGAGAATGAGCAAACTCCACCCAGACAGTCGCCCGAGGGTGGAATTGAACCCAGGTCCCTGGCGCTGTGAGGCAGCAGTGTTAACCACTTTTTAAAGGTATGTAAAGGATTGTAATTCCCATCTACCCTGGCAATATGCCCAGACATGATTCCGTGATAAAATGTTCTGGACAAAAAGAAGTCTGGTAAATTGTAGAAGAATCAATGCCAGATAAAATCCAAGTACAATCTTGTCCTATCTTTTGTTTCAGATCCAGTTTCTTACCACCATACAACAGCAAATCGCAGCATCGGTTTCCTAAATACAGTTATCAAACATTCGTTCCTTGTAGAAAATCCTTATGTTCGGTGTTTCTGTCTCATATTGTTATCTCTTCATTGAGTTTAAGAAGCTCAGACTTGTGAATTTAGGACAACCACCCCATCATAAATTTGTTGATCACTTTGTTGGGCAAGAATTTTCTTTCCTTGTCATGAGTTACAACAGAATCAATTGCTGGTGGCCCAACCTTTTCTATATTGCCTGTTTTTTGACCATGTCTTTCTGGGGCTGACTGAAAATTATACTATGTAAGGTCCTAGACTTTTAACAGGTGACTCACTGGTCACATTGCCTGACTAAACATCATGATTGTGCGCTGTGCTCTGTCCCACACCTTGCTGGTCCTCACCTTCTGAGCCATTGTCCTATAGTCTGGGTCTTTCTGCCTGCTCTGTCATTACTAGTCTTCATGCGCGTTAGAAGAGGTGGTCCGATCCAGATATCACATTAACAAAACTCATTGGCTTCTCACTTAGTTTGGCACAACTCCCTAATTTGAAGTCCTACGGTATTGCCCTTGGAATGTACAACCAGTTATTTGGAGTCATAAGTGAGAGATGGAGAATTATGGGATATGGTCTCCCCTCCCACTTATTTGGCATGGTTATGCAACTTGGCAGAAGATCTAGGGAACGAATTCTCACAAACACTCCCACATCCTGTACATTCAAGTTGCAATGAAATGTTTGGAATAATCTAACAGAAAGAGTAAGCAAAGAAGCAAAAACAGGAATTTTGAATATACTCAGTTGCTCAGGTATCTATTTTTAGTTTGAATGACAGAGTTAACTTGATGACCTTTAGAGTGCAAGTTATTTGGGGAAATTCAAAATGTAATCAGATGTTAGTCACATGATCTTTCCTTGCCTTAGATATTTTCTTTCATTCTTGTCACAGCTTTAAGTTTTAAAAGGGGCTTCTGATAATGAGGCATCCTCTTTAATTTAGATTATGAAATGCCTTTTGAGAAACTGATCATTTTTGTTTGGGTACTTTGGCCACTGCAAAATTAAGATGGAAAAGGAGAAAGAAGAATTCCATCACAGTTGAATTCTAAAACATTGGATATGACCCTTCTCCATCTGCAATGAAAGCATTATATGGAGCATTATTCTTTTCAGGAAAGTCTAAGATATCATGCTTGACCCATGATGCCAGTGAGGGAGGGTGTGTGGGAAATTCCCATTGGCTTGATGCTAGGTAAGTGAAATCAAACAACATTCCTGTTCTCAGTATTGTGAATTCTACTAGAAAACGCTGATGTGTGGTTGGTCACCAGATGGGGATGAAGGGGACATAGTGAGGAAATGGGAGTAGTTGTAGCTGTCATGTGCCCCCTGTCGATATTATTGCATAGCTTGATATACTCAACTGTTGACTCTCAAATACAAAGAGTAGACACTTAGGCAAGTGGGCTGTGATTAACATAAGTTAGTTATTTCAGTTGACACTATAGAAGTGATTTTTAAAAAAAATTAAAAAGTGATTGGAAAAAGAAGAACATAGAACATAGAACATAGAACATTACAGCGCAGTACAGGCCCTTCGGCCCTTCGATTTTGCACCGACCTGTGAAACCAATCTGAAGCTCATCTAACCTAAACTATTCCATTATCATCCATATGTTTATCCAATGACCATTTAAATGTCCTTAAAGTTGGTGAATCTACTACTTTTGCAGGCAGGGCATTCCACGCCCTTACTACTCTCTGAGTAAAGAACCTACCCCTGACATCTGTCCTACATCTATCACCCCTCAATTTAAAGCTATGTCCCCTCGTGCTAGCCATCACCATCCGAGGAAAAAGGCTCCCACTGTCCACCCTATCTAATCCTCTGATCATCTTGTATGTCTCTATTAAGTCACCTCTTAACCTTCTTCTCTCTAATGAAAACAGCCTCAAATCCCTCAGCCTTTCCTCATAAGACCTTCCCTCCATACCAGGCAACATACTGGTAAATCTCCTCTGCACCCTCTCCAATGCTTCCACATCCTTCCTTTAATGCGGTGACCAGAACTGTACGCAATACTCCAAGTGCGGCCGCACCAGAGTTTTGTACAGGTGCAACATGACCTCGTGGCTCCGAAACTCAATCCCTCTACCAATAAACCTAACATACTGTACGCCTTCTTAACAACGCTATCAACCTGGACGGCAACTTTCAGTGATCTATGCACATGGACACCGAGATCTCTCTGCTCATCCACACTACCAAGAATCTTCCCATTAGCCCAGTACTCTGTATTCCTGTTACTCCTTCCATAGTGAATCACCTCACACTTTTCCGCATTAAACTCCATTTGCCACCTCTCAGCCCAGCTCTGCAGCTTATCTATGTCCCTCTGTAACCTGCAACATCCTTCCGCACTATCCACAACTCCACCGACTTTGGTGTCATCCACAAATTTACTAACCCATCCTTCTACGCCCTCATCCAGGTCATTTATAAAAATGACAAACAGCAGTGGCCCCAAAACAGATCCTTGAGGTACACCACTAGTAACTGAACTCCAGGATGAACATTTCCCATCAACCACCACCCTCTGTCTTCTTACAGCTAGCCAATTTCTGATCCAAACCGCTAAATCACCCTCAATCCCATGCCTCCGTATTTTCTGCAATAGCCTACCATGGGGAACCTTATCAAACGCTTTACTGAAATCCATATACAACACATCAACTGCTTTACCCTCATCCACCTGTTTGGTCACCTTCTCAAAGAACTCAATAAGTTTTGTGAGGCACAAGAGCTGTGTTTATTTGTGAAGTATGGAATACATAATTGAATCTTTTATTTGAGTTGATGTTACTGAAATAGCCACAAGTAAATGGCATAGTCTGGGTCCATCTTACAGCTGTTAATATAAGTTTATATATAAAACACCAGAGCAGGATAGTGTAGACTTTTGAAATTGATATGCTGCATTTTGTATTAAGCAGATTGCCTATCTGTTTTCTGAGAAGATGGCTGTTGCAATATTTTGAATTTGGTTACTAACAGCTCAGTGAGATTTAAGATTGTGAGTCCTTGAGAAAGCGAAGAATAGAATGGCATTGGGTCTTTGAGCCTAATTTTTGCACAGGATAGCTTACTGAGGTTTCAGTTTCTTATGCTATAAGTAGAAGATCAGTCATAATCCTGTTGAATTCCAGAGCATGTTCAAAGGGCCTGACGGTCTACCTCTGCTCTTATTTCTTATGTCAGGACTTGTGCAATGTCAGATACCCATCAGATGGGCATTCCTTGCGTACTTTTGTGTAGAACTATGTTAGATCTTTTGGTAAAGTCTGTAAAGTTCTGTTATTCACTCTTGCTGCACCCTTCTTTCCATCTCGCTTTCCGTTGCTGTTCTAGTATTTTTTATTGCCATCCCAGTGTCCCTCTTAAATTCACCACTGCCCTCTTTAGCAGTTTTTACATCTTGAATCTTTGTAAGTCGTTTATCAGCTTGAGGGTTAACGAAAGATTTGAAAAATGCTACAAAACTCAAGCTGAAACCCATTAAAATATTTGTTCTGCTCTTCTTAGTCGGATGGTTAGCATATTCCTCTTCGGTACCCTAAATAACAATAGTACTGCAGCAATTCAATAGTAATTCACAAGTACTGATGTTTTTTGGAGA